AATGGATTAAGTTTTTCGATTCATAGCCAACTTGTTCATCAGCAATACACTTGGTTATTGAAGTGGTATTTTCTGTTTTTGAGAAACTAATTGATGTATATATCAAGACCTTGACCATGTTACATGCTATGAAATAACCAGTTAGGTTGTATAACCTAGGAGCGTAATTTGTTGAAGTACTTCGCATTAATTATATGTATAATCTTTGTATCTTTAACCGTACTAAATCTTACCATTGTATCTTAAATTCATCTATGTGAAGTACGAGTGTCTACTTTTTAACCAGATGATATGCAAAATGTAAACCACACCGACTTGGGCGTTGAAATGACTTATTTGAACTGTGACATTTTTGGTTCTGGGTCTATTCGGGTTGCGGAATGTAAGCTTGTTGGGTTAGATCTTTATCTCGGGGTTAAGATATTTTTATTTGAAATCAATTCATTTAGAAAAAATTAATGGTTTCGAATATGTAGCAGCCAAAGTTATCAAGAGGTATTAAGATCAATCAATAAGCTGCACTTATAACAAATACATTATATCTCGAAACGTGAAGTATGCTTTTACTTATTTTACCAAGAGATAATATTTCCCACTTTCCTTGGGCGGAAGGCGGAATGATTTTCCGCTTCAGCAATATACACCCGAGCTCCACATGCTCTTCCTACTCTGTAAAGACCAATGTGATCAAACTGTAGATCACTTTTGACTTGATTTATTTACGAGGGGTAGATAGTAGTGCAGAAAACCTAATGTGCCATTGACAAATGAGAGATGCCAGATATAATTATTGTACTGTTCCACCAGTTGTATAGAAGAACCTTAATAGTTTCACAGTTGAGACAGAAATTTTAGATTGAACATCCTGATGGACAGTGATACGAAGCCTATTATCATTTCACAAAACAATCTCCGTCAGTTACGGCCCAATTTGTCAATAAAACAAAGTCCGTTTCTTTTGTGCAAACGACCCTGGGTTTTAAAATGCAAGGTCTCTAAGAATTCGTTATTGCAAACTTAGACCTGGAAGTAATTATAATATTATAATATTATAATATGTTGTCCCATTTATCCTTTGTTCAGCTTTGAGGATTGTGTGGCAAGGGCTCAATACACTACATATGTCGAGAAGGGACCAATCTACACTAGGTAGCGGTCGTAACATATGTGGAGCACGGCTTTTCCACTCGTGATCTGGTGTGGATGCGTGACCGGGCGCCTTCAGTTGGTGAATCCGTTAAAACTAATGAGGTAAAGGTCAAATTCCAAGGACTTACAGAGCTATTGATTTAGGGATTTATCTATCGCTGCTGATCACTACCCACCTAGAGCGATAGTGCATGCGTTTCGTAACTATGCAAAAGCATGAAAACGATTACAGCAGAATGAATTATCGGTTTGTTTTTTACAAAATAATGATATACACATATAAGCAAGCATATTATGAACGAAAACATTTTTGAAATAAAACTATGCACATGAGCATGTTAAAATAGCCAGTTTTTGACGCAATAATACAAAAATAGTTGAGACGAAACAGAGAGTTATGTAGTGTATTACGTGCAGTAATCATCTAGATGTTCTGGGAACCTTACTCTTCCGGAACGCGTTGTTAGGAGTCTGTTTTCAGGTACTGGCAAAGTACCATCATGATTGTTGGCTATCGGAGGTATAGTAAGTCTCGGATCCGTGCCTTCAGATTGTACCGAAGTAAAATCGACGTGAATGGGGTTTCTTTTTAATTAATTTGCTTTGATGCAGTCGATGCTGATGCTATCATTAGTCCAGTCCTTATGGGTTATATAGTACTTAGGTTTACGCTGAAGAACTTTAAAGGGTCTTTTGTATGTTGTTTTATCAGGCCGTTGAAGTTAGTCACGAAGTACAAAGACGTGTGTACTTTATCGTAATTCAGGTTGACCGAAAACATCATTGAAAACAGGTCTAACTAAACGCGTTGCGTCTTTAGGCCTGTTCACGTAAGAATTTAGATCCATATTCGCTGAAGAAGACGAAGTATCGACAAATTTTCCTGGAAGTGCCGTTCCATAAACGAGTCCAGCTGCAGTACATTCAATGTCAGCTTGCACTGCACTGCAAATACCTGTTAGGACGACTGGAGGTGCGTCAGTCCACTGAGTAATGTTTGCAACTGATAGTGAATCTTTTAGTTGTCGGTGAAAGCGTTCTACTAATCCGTTTTCTTGTGGGTCATAGGCAGTCGTTCGGGAGCGAGTGATTCCTAAAAGTGTGGTCAAACAACTGAAAAGTCCAGATTTGAACCGGCGTCCGCGACTTGTAGTGATGGTTGAAGGGCTCCAGAAATGTGTCGTATGTCTGAAGTAAAGTGAGAAGTACAGTTCATTTGTCGAGACTCACGAGATGAGTATTTGTCTGAAGATGAGCTTAAAGAGAAGGCAAGCGGTTTATGACCAGTCAGAAGGGTAAAATCTCAGCCTTCGAAAGAATGTCGAAAGTGCCATACAGCACAGTATATAGTTAGGAGGTCTTTATCGTAAGTGCTACACCTGAATTCGTTGTCGAGCAATCGTCTCGACATTAATGACAAAGGATGTCAAGTGTGGTTAACCCATTGTTATAAAACTCCAACTGCAGACTTGGATGCGTCTACTGCGATACCAATAGGTGCTTGGGTGTCCTGGTATGCAAGCATGGTTGAATTTGCGATAAGCTCTTTAATTGTGGAGAATCCTTTTTTCGTGGTATTGTAGTGGCATTGGACAATAACCACACAGCCCACAAAGCTGAACACGTGACCACTCAGAAAATAGATATTCAATATTTAACGCGGAGAAACACATAACGATGGAGAAGGCGGGAAGAATGTATTGAATGGGTTGGAGTTGATCAAATGGCATGGCTTGGCCATGCAGTCGTGGTCCCTGTTATCTTATATCCTTTAACCATATTAAATATATTGTCCTATCTCTAGCCTAAGCTTGTTCTCCACCATGTATTGGTAATTGTTATGATGCAATGAGTTGGTGTAGACGATGATGTAACTTCCACGTAAGATCTTATAGATTAGGCAGTTATATCGTGACAGGTCTATAATTTTAGGATTAGGTCTATTATTAGAGTAGTACTAATATCATAGTAGACCATAGTTCTACAGTATCATACAAGTTGATGGATTTTGCATTTTCACGAAGTTAGTCGGTTGGAGATTTCATAAGAAATGCGCAGTTTGGTATGAACCGTTTATAAAAACGTTTAGACAGGAAAAATGGTCTAAACAGGCCATCATCGAAAGTTCTTTGACCCATTACCTCTCTCATTCGTAATAACATGTCCATTGCTGAGCCATGTTGCAGATCGATGTTATTGAGGAGTTGATCTAACCTCCGTCGATCGGTTAGATCTCCGCGTTTAAGAATAAATCTTTTTATTGTTCATAAGGTTCCGAAACATCACTAGTAGGCACACTAGGTGTAACGTACCTGCTGAAATCGCGCAGTAGTGCTTTTACTGCTGCGAGGAATTGTGTACGTGTGTCGTTTACACCATGCTCGTAAAATTTGGCTTTTGCATAACAGAACCAGGCTTCGATGTTGTCCGGCCAAGAAGGGATTAGTTGACATGAAGGTGGAGTCATAGTCTTTAACTTGATTACCTTAGAAGTCTGTTCGGTCATGGCGAATATGGAGTACAAGAATGAACGAGGGCAAGATACCCGAAAACAGGGGAAAATTATCACAATATATAAAAATTAAAGTAAAGCAATGATATGTGAAGTTCCATGAAGGAACAGACCCACAGTTTACAAGTCCATGTACCGGATCACGTTGGCTCATCAATGAAGATGCCTCAGGTATTCGTAGTTTGACAACAATTTAACCAGTAACACTCTCTATGATTGGATCGCGCCCACCTGTTAAAGTTAAAAGTCAGAAGCCAGGACGTTCAAAAACATATTTGTTAGACCATAAATATATCGCGAAATGACCGATCTAAACTGGCTAGCAGTTACAAGTGAAGTTGAGAACGCGTTCCCACTCGTGATCTGGTGCGGACATATGACCGAGCACCTTCAGCTAGGTGAGTCTATCAAAACCTATATCGTCATCGTCAAATGTCCAAGACTTACAGAGCTACTTATTTTGAAGATTTGTTTACCGCTACAAAGCTAATGACATCGAAGATAGATAGTTGTAATAAGTCATACAGCAATCCCTGCAGTCTGGAGAAGTGAAACAGACAGTACACTTGAAAGTGTCATTCCTCTAAAACTCACTTTATTTCACAAGGATTCTACCCAGGAAAATAGGCAGTAGAATTAGAGGGATAAAGGAAATAAGATTGTGATGGAGAATACCAGATGTTATCTCTTACGTTTCAATAAACTCGGTCTGTGGTGTGAGCTACTTATATTCATATAAGTAGTATATAACGTGCGTTAAATAAACGTAAGGTCCGGCAGCAGAAGATGGCGAAGATCAAGAAAGGAAGAGCAAGAGCACAATGGAATTGTAAGAAAACGCATGTACAATGGAATGGGAGACAATGGATTAGTGTTTGCAACGGGAACAGTACAGTTTGATATGATGGAATGATATTTTGCAAATTGACGACTGACTTTATGGTATTCACATTTTATCGAGATAGTCTGTAATCTTTGTGCTAAATACAATCGATTGTCCCCACCCGTGTTCTTGTTCACTACAGGTCTAAGATTCAATTCAAATAGGTCTTAAAAGAACGTTCTATAATGGGTAGTACATTATAAAAAGATAATACAAGTTGTAGAATAAGTTGTCACAAGGGATTTTACTGCGGATGCCATTCAGTTTCTAAGCAAACTCTTATCAAGTTTCATTTATTCTTCGCTTTTGCAAATTCCTGTTATATTAATCCAAAAGCTTAAATATTTTTAACTGCATATACGTTTCTTGAGATGAGAAACTGAAAAGGTCTTTTGTTTGGCATTTCGCAATCAAGAGATTGAAGTGAGGAACTGTTAATCCATCATCATTTGAATTAATTTGAATTGTATATTGTCCAGCGCGATGTTCGAATTAGACGTTTCTTAAAGTTTTGGGTTGTTGCGTAATCATGCTAGTGGTGCGGACATTTTGAAATCATATCCTTGATCTGATCGTGCATTTTATGGGTGTAAATGGGCGTTTTGTTGATGAATCACAACAAATGGCAAGTTTTGACATTGTTTGTGTAGTCACGACTACTAGTAGTTATACCATTTATAAACAGCTGTTTATAAATGATTTGTTTCGTTTATTTGTTTAGTAATTAATGACTGGAAACACAATTTTTTGTAGAGAATTTCACTCTAGTTCTCTCTTAATTCGTTCAAAGGGAAGAATATTTTATCACTAATGTGTAAACATAGTTTGGGAGCTTTCGTAATGAAATATAAACTTCATACTGGGACTGTATATGTTAGTATATGGATGGCCAAGCAATGGTTAGTCGTCTGTCTAAAATTAATTGTGGGGTTAGGTTCGTATAAACGACTGGTGACTTCACTGTTATTAATGGTATCTCGAATGTGTGATCATATAGTCATGAAGACCGGCATCTTGTTAACAGGACGACTTAAGAAATCATTGTTCCAACTTATCTCGGAAAAAATACTGCGTCACGACTCCAATATTTGTGTTCTTATTGCTGTTTAGCTCGAGATGTTCTGTCATCTTATGTCTGGACTGGTCCAGTTGCAGATCCTTATCCCTCAAGAAGTTTTTTCATTTGATGTACATAATATCTGGTATTCCGATTCAAAGCCCAGGGCGTGAATCAACATGCAGTTATTGAATAAGAATGCTTTCTCTGTGTATTCGCACACTGATTAAAAATTTACGAGATTCTTATTCCCAATGTTAACATGAAATCATAGTATGCTCAGTTAACATTTTAATTTGCTCAATACTCAGGCTCTAAATCTAAAGTCCATTTTCAACTTGAATTATTTCACAGATTAGCGAAGTTCCACTTTGTGGTTTTTCCATTTCTGTCGTTGGTGAGGAAAATAATTTCTCAGTGTTATCTGTTATCGTCACATGGTGGAGGCAGAGATGATCATCTAATGTATGGCTGAATAAAATATACGATGGCTGCTAGCCTACCATAGTGGCAGCATGATTAGAATCTAATAGTCATGCAGTTTTCATTCAGAACATGTCTCAACCAGAACTAAAAGTTATCCCATAATAGTTTTGTTTTTTCTTCTACATTGGTAGTAAAATAGACATTGGAAAACGAAATCCAAAATGAACTGTTAGATGTTTCTTGATAGACGTTTTATTATGCTGTATATGCTACACAAGTTGCACCACTGCTTTGCTGTTCCGCTATGATAAAATTTCATTGATAAGTACTTCGTAGGTGACGAACTTTTTACTGAATCTATTAGTAACATTTATGATTCCTTTACCTTGACTTTATAGCCGAGCAGATTTGTGAAGCTCTGTTGTTACTAATCGTGAAGGAAGTTAATGAGGGCGATCAAAATGTAAGTTTCCTTCAAAAGTCCTGGTACGGCCGAAAGTGGGGAGAGTCAGCTCTCCCTCTTGAAATGCTCTCAAATGTCCATGAGTATGCAGTCACTGCCGGGGACGTCCTATCCACTGCTTTCTCGTGGCGGGGTTGTTGCTCAAAAAATTGCGAGGACGTAAAGCGAATGTCCGGCGCTTTAACCGGGTTGGTGGATATGGATGACCCACCTAGGGCAGTTGAAAAACCTTGATTCCAAACCAATGGTCATATGAGCTCCAGAGTCTTGAGGGGACAAATGGTGTATGAATCTTTTGTTAGTCACTGACTGCCATAAGAATGCATATTTTAACGTTGCTCCACTGCCTTGTGGATTAGAACTCTAGGTCAAAGGTTCGGGGAGTGGCTCGGCAATGGTGGTCTTTCTTGACTTAAAAGCAGCATTTGACTCCGTAGTCTGCGAGATTCTGCGGCAATGTCTGTCATTGAAGGCGTACCTCAGAAGTACTTAAACCTTGTGAAGACTCTTTACTAGAACACTACTAGTCGAGTCAGAGCTTATGGCGGACTGTCGTATAAATTTGCAACCTCAAGTGGTGCCGTTCAAGGCTGTCCGCTATCTCCATTTTTGTTCGATTTCATCACAGAGATAATGTTGGAAATAACGTTCTCGTTGACTGAAGTTTTGGGCATTGATCTACCAGGAGGTTCACTTATCAGCTTAGAATACACAGATGACATAGTCCTGTTTGGTGAAGACTTTGATAAGATGCAGTGTCTTTTGGTAGCACTGAGAAATAATGTTAGGGTGTTCGGGAATGCATTACTCCCCTTCTAAATGCAAGTTGTTGCTTCAGGACTGGCCTGCGTCAACACCTGAACTAAGGATAGGGAGTGGAGTAGTCGAACGCATTGACAACTTCACTTATCTTAGAAGTCTGATCAGCCCTAATGGGTTGGTGTCTGATGAAATCTCTGCATGGACTCAAAAAGCTCGTTTGGCTTTTGCCAACTTACGTGACCTATGGCGAAGGCGAAATATCCGTCTATCAATTAAGGGACAAGTATACTGCGCAACAGTTCGTTCCGTTCTACTCTACGGCTGCGAAACGTGGCCATTAATAATGGAGGATACTCGTAAGTTACTAGTATTTGATCACAGATGTCTTAGAAATATTGCTCGTATTTGTTGGGATCACCGGGTAGATAATAGTGAGGTTAGACGCAAACTATTAGGGAATGATGGTAAATCAATTGATGAGGTTGTGAATCTTGATCGACTGAGATAATTAGGTCACGTGTTACGTATTCCTGAACACCGATTACCACGACGCTAAATGCTGACTAGTCCTAGTGATGGTTAGGGGCGGCCAAGCCAAAACATGGCATCAGTGCTTGAAGTCACTAACTTCTAGTCTTAGCCATGTTGGTAGATGCAGACTACTTGGTTGAGGTCCGTGTGACTATCGTAAACAGTGGTTGGAGGCTCTGGGTAACATGGCTCAGAATTGATCACAATGGCGTAGGTGTGTAAACTCTTTGTCTTCACTTAAATTATGAGATTAAAATCGCTTCATATCTTTCTTTCTACTAACTAATTCTTTCTTCCTGTACTGTATCCATATATGCAATCTTTCTTTTAGATATTACCACCATTGACTTAACTACTATGAATCTAGTGTTTATCTTGTTGTGCTAATGAGGTATGGCAACTTGGACCGATGTACGTATGTGCCCTACTTAGTATAGATAGTAATCAGTGGTTTCTATGTCAGAAATGTTATCAGTCCTTAGATTATTTTATTTACGACTTTTTATTCAGGTAAAATTAGGTAAGAGGAGCTGGAAAACGCACTTGTTGAAACCATTATCATGGACTCCAAATAGTAAAGCAAAACAAGCAAATACCTGCTGGGTGCAACTGTCTGGTCATCAAGGTTAGTTTCGAACAGCGAGATAGTTTGTCAGTGTTTTGAATCAATATCGCTTTTTTGAGAATTCCCCTTTTATTTGCTATCCTTTCTTTTAGGAACTGTTAATACTAAAAAAGTACGTACATAGAGTTTTGCTGCACTAAGAAATGAGTACTTGACATGAAAAAATTTGATCCTGCTTATTGTTATCAGACTCACTTAGATACTCGTCTGATAAACGGGTTTAGTTCCTCAGTTTTAGAAGTGTTATCATAGTTCCAAGGGAATTTATTTCGTTTTCTTATTAATTTTATAAATTTTGTATTTTTAAATGCAATATGGAAATATATCTACTTTTATTGTCTGTACTTAAATTGTTTTGAAAATGTGTTTATTTTATACCATCTTGTTTCTATGTGATGCGGTTTGAATTCTTATTTGGTAGATTTCTTGATATCATGAAAGTTAGATGCAAGGCATAAGTAAGCATGTGTAAACTTTTGTACAGCTTCCTTATTTGTGTCTGTAATTTATTTGTAAGTTGGTGATTTTCCAGGTTTGATCAGTTTGGAGCCATGAAATTGACTCAAATGAAAACACTGATAAACAACTGGCATTTCAGTGAATTAATAATACGAGGTTTAATATTACGTACATATATTGTTATGGTGTGATGAAGTTCCAATATCCCACTTCACATTACAAAGGATTCTGAAGGTTTAATTTTGTCTTGTTTTTGGCGAATACCTCAATAAAGCAATTACATCACTGTAACAAACTATATTTTTCAACCTATTAATTCAAGAAACTGCTTCAGTTTGTGGGATTCTTTACTTTGGAAATTAACCTAAAACGAATCGGTTGAAATTCCTTAGTGAAATTATTTATTTATTTGAACACATAAATATTGGTACAAGGAGGCACCAAACATATATGCTTCACACAAAACACTGAGAATGGGAAGAGAAAAAAGAAGGCAAGGAGCGTAAAATAAAAAAAGAGGAACAATAACGACCAGATTAGTGAAAGGTAGTGTAATAATAATAATATTAATAATAATAGTAATGGGGGAAACGGAAAGGTACAACCAGAAGAATTCTATCAGTTAAGGAAGATACAGCAACTTTTTATGAAGAAAATAAAAGGTTACAGCAGGATTGCCACTGGCTTCTGTCCTGAGCCATATCTGATAACGTCTCTAACCACTGTGTTATACTGTCTCTTGGACCCTAGCCAGTGAGTCGTAAAGGACCAACAGAAGCCAGCCCTTTTCAGCGTTCTTTCGTACCCCGACACCATGTCATACACTGAAATAAGTAATGACTGTGGAATTACTACAAACATTGTTTAATAATGTCATCGTTTTTGACCTTGTATGTTTGCCGTTCGAAGAACTTAATAAGAAACCTCATTCATCTAATTAATGCGGAAAATAAGCGAATCTGTCAATTTTTTAATGCAGAACACCTTTGATTGACCTCTTCGTGTTTTTTATATGCTTTAGATAACACTGAAGTAATTGAGGGTCAAATACATATTATTTTCAATTACTTTTTGTTAATGATTCTTCAGGTAGCCTAATATCTAATGGTAAAGGAAGCGTTTTAAAACGTTATTGCCAAAGTGAAGCCCAATGTTTACTACAGCTCCAGCTAGATATACTCAGATCATTTGTCCCTAAATATCAAGGCGAAAAGCTGCTCGATGGTGAACGTATCCTTTTTGGTGTAATTGGTTTTTGCTGACGAAAGCAAACTAAATAATCAAAGGGAGTCACTATTCTCACTCACTAATATTCTTTTATTATACGTTTGTGTAAACTAATGACTTCAGTAATTTCACCCAGCTAAACCAGTCCTCTTAGAGGATTTTATTAGAAGCTATATTATGTGCTTATGATTGGGTTTTCGGCTGATTAGTTTGTTAGGTGCTCCAGTTTTAACCATAAATTCATATGTCTTACTCCACCATCTATTTAGGTTTGATATTATCTGTAGTCGTCGAATAATAGGTACAAGTCGATCTAAGGTGCAAACCTACATTTATTTATTTAAACACATAAACATTGGTACAAGGAGGCACCAAATACATAAACGCCACACAAATCATTCGATTCACGTGAGGGCTGAAATACTGCACGGATGCCCAAACCGAAGAAGGTAATTTTCTTAGGGTGGTCACTCTCCGAGCCTTAGACCTAGAGTTCTAATCCACAAGGCAGTGGAGCAACGTTAAAATATGCATTCTTATGGCAGTCAGTGACTAACAAAAGATTCATACACCATTTGTCCCCTCAAGACTCTGGAGCTCATATGACCATTGGTTTGGAATCAAGGTTTTTCAACTGCCCTAGGTGGGTCATCCATATCCACCAACCCGGTTAAAGCGCCGGACATTCGCTTTACGTCCTCGCAATTTTTTGAGCAACAACCCCGCCACGAGAAAGCAGTGGGTAGGACTTCCCCGGCAGTGACTACATACTCATGGACATTTGAGAGCATTTCAAGAGGAAGAGCTGACTCTCATAGTGTTGCAGGTAAATAAATTATTAGTTCTTTTCAAACATGTGTATTTTATTACTTGTGTTCATTTCTTAACACAATATATTCAAAGGTTACGTAAAAATGCAGGATTTGCTGTACAATTTTAAATCACCATCAATAATGGACTGCAAGATTGGACAACGTACTTTTTCAGAAAGTGAGGTCATTGGAGACTCTTCAGAAAATATTCGAAAAGTAAGTTCATTTCTATTATTTTATGTGGTGTGAATATAATGGTTGCTCCAGGTCTTTCGTTAATGAGTATTTTCGCTTACTGTTAACAGTATGGTAGGAGTGGGGCAAAATCTTCAACAGACCGTTCATATTTTGGAACGTATTTCTTCTCTCGTATCTCTCAAATAAAATAAATCAAATAATCGACCTGTATGAATTCGCATCACAAACTGACATTTTTGTTTTTATACTCAAATACGATGGTTTTAGTTTTCCAACTTCAAAAGGGCATACCAAACGGGTTGCAAATTGTTTACAGCATCGTAGTTGGAGCTACTAATATTATAAACCTGATATACTATTGAAGTACTATATCTTCTATTAGTCAGGGTCCTTAAAATTGTTTGATTCGTATCCCGTATATTATAGCCAATGAAACTGGATGTTTTTTTATCGCTTAACACCACATCTTTTACAATTATGCAATGAAATGCTGTGTGTTTAATAAACCTCTTAGACATATCAACAGTTAATAATCCAGCAATAATAATTCATATTTTTCCAAAAAATAGTTCTCGGTAATACTTGTTAGATACAATATATTGAGACCTTTTCAAAACATTTCTTTTGAATTGGCACCATTCTAAATTATTCATAATCAATACAGGTTTAATTTTATTTTTCTTATCTATTATTTCTGGGATTATTAACCTTGTTTTTAAAAATACAAAATAGGATCTCTACTTGAAAATGATGTCTACTTCGCCTAATGCACCGACTGAAAGAGAACATCGTGAAAAAGGTGTTTCGAAAGTACGCTATTTGCAGTGGCGTGATACAATTAGCTCAACGGCTGAGTATGGTTTTCGCATTGAAGCAATCAAGGTATAGTATTTCATGTCTTGTGGTTTAGTGGTTTTTGCGTTATTTACATCTTAACTAATCAGTCATAAACAACATAACACCTGGCACATATGTATATCGGTCCAAATTGCCATGTCATATAGAGGGATATGATTTAAAACGAAAAGTAAATTCCCGGAATACAAGTTTCTAAATAATTTTAAAACTGGGTTTATGTGAATACACATAGTGAGTGCATCCGCCCCACTACGACTGATTCCGGAGCATGCCACCTAACATCTCCAACCACCGACCATAATCTCTTACCCTTACCTCAACCACTGGGTTTAAACTAAGTATGGTAACTCCAGCAGGAGTAGCTAATTGTGATTGGTTATTTATTTACAGTGTTTCTCATAGCTCAGTATACAAGCCTTTACGTAACTAACCGAAATTCATTAATCTAATTAAGTTTAAACACATGTTTATGCTTTAACCATTCATAATGAGTGTATGGATTTTAACCCGAAGAGTAACATTGATACTTGCTATGTTAACCTGTACAAATGCATCAAATCTAACAGAATCTTCGATATTTATTACTGCACTTGTAAACTTGAATTGAGTTTCGATTCTTGTGGTAGGATAGTTAAAATTAAATTATGTATATGATAATATCAATGTTAGATGATCGTCAGTAAGATATACCATCAATATGTTTGAATGAAGTCTTGCAATTACATTTTATGGTTCCATAATTGTTTTACATATATTACATTTTCCAATATAAATTTATCAAACCTATCTTTCTTAATGACAATCTTATCGGTTAGAAATAAATACTTCATTAGTAAGACATTTAATTCATTGTTCTTTAACGGTTTAAATAAATAAATCTTGTTTTATGATTATGCGTAAACTTTTTCGTTATAAATTTCGCAGCGTTTCCCACTACGTCTGGATAGTGTTATGAAAACAGTCTGGTAATTGAATCCTAAATGCCTTTAAACATCTACTTGGAGCAATCTAGTTTCGTGAAGGCTTTCTTAATTTATTGTTACATATATTCCTTCATTTCACTGTTTCATTTTGGACCGGTTTATTCTCTCCAGCTGTCATTGATACTACCATTGATATTCATTTAATTAATTTCATCTCACTGTGCTGATTCTGCTTAGGAGTTTGATTTAAAGCACATGTGTGCCAAGTCTCTATGTTGTCTATGGATGACTAGCTGACATATATCAAAGTATTTTGGGAAATTCCTGCAAGTTCATCCTCTTATTTATTCAACGGTTTATTTACATAGTATGCTAAAATTTCTAGTGGGTCACATTTAATTCAATTAACTGTCATCGTAAGGGCAATCAATAAAAGAAACGTAATAACTTGTCATCAGTTTACTGTACAACTAATCAATGACGTATATTGTTTGCGTTTTTCTGATTAACATGATGTCATCATATTAAATTAAATAACTTATTATTTTCCAGTCATTTCCTATCATTCATAACTAGTGATTTTATTGTTTTTTCGATCCATCCCAGTTTTTTTTTCATTTTAACTAGGGACTAAAATTAACTTCAGCCAGGTAGAAAAAATATATCTTATGTCATTAACTGATTTGCTATCACTTTTATTTACATGGTTCCAGATTTCCTGTAATGTTGATATTGTTTTTGAGGTTAACTAATCATCAGACCCTGCTCTTTCATATTTATTTCAGACTTTTAGTGAATCCACTCGAAAAGATTTTCAACACACTCATACATGGCATGAAATAATAAATCACTTTAAATTATTCATACAACACCGTAAAATAATTGCTGTAAGTTTAGATGCTTTTGTTTCATTTTTTTAAATATATAGGAATGGTTGTTTTTTATACTAAACCACTAGCCTTAACTCTAAACTTTAACCCTAGATTCTTGGCTTTAACTTACTTTAACTATGAACGATGTAGGAACTCCTAAAGATCTTTTGCGTCCTTAAAAGGGTTTGAGAAAATGTTCTCCACTTTTATGTATCAGCTTATATGCTTTAGTTTTTCTGATTTACTATAGGAAATCTGTGTACTCTCTGTAATGTCACTATTTTCCCTCCATAAAGTATTTATTTACGATAACTATTTTGTGATTTGCTAACAACGGGCTAAAATTGATCTCGGTTACTTTAAGCTCGTCCATATGCTATACCCTTACCACTAATAATACTACTGGGTAACTCATATCGAATTGGACGTAATTTGATTTAAACCTCCAACCTAATTATTGGAACCCGAGTGTTTTAACCACTGAGATACTTAGATTTACATGATAAGCTTCTATTTCGTAAGTGTTTCTTATTGCAAGATAATGATGATCACTATTATTAGCACACGTCATCGTAAACTTTTTATGGGATTACAGGGCATGGATTAGATTTTACATTCCTTAGTTTCTTTATTGTACATATACTTTTTTTAAAGTATGGCATGAATAACACCAGTTTGGTGATGTTCAACATACTTTCGGAGTTATCAACATGAATTTACCGCTCTTTTTGTTTTGTATTTTTTTTATAGCAAAACTATTTAATCCGATTATTAAAGTTGAGAACTATATTGGAAGTTTCCGATTTCTTTGCCAAACATGAGGTTTGTCTTAATTTTATTTGAATTTACTTACTTTATTAGAAGATTTAGAACTTTCGGGTTAGATTTTTGAACGGGATTGTAAAATATGAATTTGTTCTTTGTAAGCAAGACTACAACATACATTTTAACACAGTTGGTGTCAACAAAGGTCACCCATTCAAAGTTCTTATGTTATATTTATGTTTCATTTTCAGTCGCTCTTGTAAATGTTTCATTCTGGAGACCTTTTCTTGTCTTGGTACTGATACAGCAATATTAAATTTTGTGAACGAATTACCTAGTTGTATGTAAATAATTAAACTAGTGAGTCAGCTGTGTTATTTCATGGCTTGAAAAAGAATCATGAACTGTCTTCACTTACCGTTCAACTTCACACTGATAAAATCATCATTTGCTCATCCAAAGGTTTCCTAGTGTTATTATGACAGATTTTACGATGAACTCCCAAAATAATCACCCATAAAAATCCAGATCGTATTTTACGTATCAAATTTTGACAAGTATTTGTGTTCACCTTATAGGTCAATGTTAAACTAAAGTGTAGTCAGGGTTTTCCTAGATGTGAAGCTGTTTCTAGTTTTGAATCAATCGTTTTAAATGTGGTCGGTGTTATAGAAGCATTTGACCAAGTCAAGCTATCTACTCATTAAACGTTAAATTATACTATACGACAATAAAAAGTTCGAAAATAACTAGGAATTCCGGTTAGTAGTAGTGAATTTTCTCAGTTTTTGTGGATGACTGTTTGGTGTAATTATCTCCACTGTAATTTTATTTTAAAATAAACGTTGATTATTCATTATTTATTTATTTGAACACAAATATTAATACAAAAGGGCACCAAATATATATGCGCCACACAAAACAGTCAGAGTTCGAAGAGAAAAAAAGAACAATAACGACCAGATTAGTGCAAGGTAGTGTAATAATAACAATGATATTTAAATAGAACAAGAACAAACATTGATGCAGAATAGTATGAATTCATAATATTCCGAGGTTTCTCGTCAGCTGCTTACAACCAAAAATGTGATAGAATTTTTACATAGAGATAGTGTGAAACAATTGACATAAATGAGTGTAAATAACTGAATTACAATAATAACTATATATATATGCTAGAACAGGTCAGAGATTAAAAAAGGGAATTAATTTAGGGTGGGTGGTATAATAGTTTAGTGAAGTTCATAAATTGTGTGATAATTTTAACGATTAATGGAATTGAATAATGATAAGATAGGTTACGTAATAATGATTAAATAGAATTTGAAAAGTTAAGATAATTTAAGAGGATCAGGTGGTGGAAATATGTGAATAAAATTTTTAGTTTAAGAATTAGGTAATAGGGGAGGAGTATAAGTATTTTAAAATAAATGATTAAAATAACCAAAACATAAAAAAGGATTACCAGGGTAATGATAACTTTATTAAAGTATCTTTTTGAATGCATAAGTCCGGTTTAAGTTTTTTGATCGCAATGGCTTCAGCAAAACGGAGAATGGTCGTACTTCGTTGTCTATTGATAATTTTAAAAGCATACAGAATGTCGACGGTATGCCCGGTGTCAAGTAGATGCCGAGTTATTGCGCTGTTGAAAGCCTTAGTCCCTCTCAGCCTCAAATTCTTCGGAACGTGCTCAGAAATGCGAACATGTACTCTTCTCTCAGTTCTTCCAATGTATGTGCTATGGCACGTACATGTGAATTGGTAAATGCAGTTGGAGCTACTGAGGAAAGAGGACTTGTCGATTTTAGTTTGTTTCAGTGAGCAGTTCGTCTACCATAACGTCGTTAGTTTGGCTACCGGGTAGGCCACTTTCAAAGCGGAATTTATTCTGTGATTGATAATTCCGGTGACTTCATCTCCTTTGAAGCGCAAGTACAGGAAACAGGTTTTCTTTTCCACTGTAACATGCTTAACCAATTGCCTACGTGAAAATGTATATCCGGAGAAATTCATCCAAAAATGTGCTAATACCAACACTAAACTATTACACCACCCACCCTAAATTAATTCCCTTTTTTAATCTCTGACCTGTTCTAGCATATATATATAGTTATTATTGTAATTCAGTTATTTACACTCATTTATGTCAATTGTTTCACACTATCTCTATGTAAAAATTCTATCACATTTTTGGTTGTAAGCAGCTGACGAGAAACCTCGGAATATTATGAATTCATACTATTCTGCATCAATGTTTGTTCTTGCTTATAAAGGGAACCAATTGCATGAAACAACAATATTAATAGTAATAAGAATAATGGAGGAGACGGAAAGGTACAATCAGAAGAAATCTTTCAGTTAAGGAAGATACAACCGCTTTTTTTATGAAGAAAGTAAAAGAAGGTTACAGCAGGATCACCACTGGCTTTATTCTGAGCCATATCTGATAACGTCTCTAGCCACTGCGTTGCACCATCTCTCGGACCCTAGCCAGTGAGCCGTGAAGGACCAACAGAAGCCAGCCCTTTGCAGCTTTCTTTCATCCCACGACACCATTTCATACCTCTCCGCTTTCTCCAGCCAGTCCCAGAGTCGGCAAATAATGCACGACGTGGAATTCTCTGGGACGACATTCGTAGAACATGTCCAAGCCACCGAAGTCGGTGTTTCAAGATGGTGACACCAATCTCATTATCATCTCTGTGCCCAAACACACGATGCAGAACCTCTGCATTACTAACATGGTATTGCTACTGGATGTCAGCAATCCTTCGGAGACAACGATGATCGAACACAGAGAGTCGTCTAAAATCGTCAACTCGGAGAGGCCATATTTCACAAGCACAGAGCAAAACTGTGTCACCGACACGTTGTAGATCCGACCTTTTACAGCCAGGCTAACGTCACGAAGGCGCCAAAGATGGCCCAGATTGGCATAAGCCGCTCTGGCTTTCACTATACGTGCATTGATCTCACCACTCACGCCACCACCAGCACTTACGCCGCTATCTAGATACAAGAACTTCTCGACTACTTCTATCTGCTCACCATCCAGGGTGAGTACAGTGTTAGAATCCTGTCAGTCTTGTAGAAGTACTTTGCACTTCGAAGGTGCAAAGCACATACCATACCTACGGACACTGATTGCCAACTGATTAAGTGCAGATTGAATGCCTTGGGCATTATCGCACAGTAAGACAATATCATCTGTATAATCAAGGTCGAGGAGTCTCTCCAGGCGACAGATCCACACCGCCATTACTTACATCCATCAGAGCTGTTTCCAGAATGTCATCGATGGCAAAGTTGAAGAGGAATGGTGAGATTGAGCAACCCTGCCTAACCCCACTGCTCGAATGGAACAATGGGGAGAGGTGGTTGTATGCCCTCACTCTGCCTGAGGTGTTTGTATATAAGGCCTTTAGGATGTTAATAAACTTCTCAGGCACACCCTTCTTCAATCCCAGAGAACAGTTCTGTCCAACGAATCGAAGGAGCCCTGATGTCAAGAAATACTACGATTGTTGGCATTTGATAAGTATGGCGGAGGGTGAAGATATGATCAATACATCCTCGACCAGAACGAAACCCAGCCTGCTCCTCGCGAGTCAATCTTTCTCGGGTTTTGAACAACCTACGAAGTATGACGGATGCCAATAGCTTGTACGCAATCGTAAGTAGACTTATCCCCTGATAGTTGTTACAGGAACGACGTGAACCCTTTTTAAAGATGGGGACAACTATCGACTCATTCCATGACGTTGATACACTCTCTAGTTCCCAAACCTTTGTAAACAACGTCGTCAATTCCTTAGTCAAAAAGTCACCACCATCTTTAAAAAGAGTCGGAGGTAAGTCATCTGGGCCAGGTGATTTGTAGCGCTTCAAGAGTTGGAGTTCCTTGCGGACTTCCGCCTCATTTGGCGGATCAGTCGTCACCGGCCATGGAGGGCAGGACAGTTTGACCGATTTTGCCGGAGCAGCAGGCCAGTTGAACTGCCCTTTGAAAAATTCTGCCCATCGTCCAAGACGTCGATGGATTTTAGTGATTGGCATCCCATCATCCTCGCAGATTGTTTCACTCACACCAGACTTCTTGCTGCTAGTGGCTCGGATGAGTTGAAGGAGCTTCCGGTAATTACCATATGCAGCTGCTGCTTCCAACCCATTAGCACGCTCCGACCACCAGGCTTCTCGGTCCTTACGCAAGCTTTACCCGATTTCATTACGTAACATCCTTCGTTTTTGGTCAAACTCATGGTCACCCGGAGTAGACCGACGGGCTTCAATGAGTTGTAAGGAACCAGAAGAAACCCAGTGCTTAAAAGCGGGACGTTTCGCAAACCCACAACTGACTGTTCCCGCCATTTTCATGGCGTCATGCAATTGCAACCAATGCTCATCTATACTTTTCGGTGGAATGGTAGCTAGCCTAGAGGCTAGCTCGGTTCGATACTTACTTGCAACAGAAGTTGCAACCAGCTTGCTAACATCAATCCCTTGGTGGCGGTCACTTCGTTGTCCACTGAAAAGTAAAGTAAGATTGGCGCAGACCAAGGCATGGTCAGAGTCCAGATAAGTACTCCAAAAGGAGCGGCAGTCTTGTACAGAACCACGCCAGCGGTAGCTGATCGCGATGTGATCAATCTGAGACCAGGCTTGAGATGCAGAGGGAGGACGCCAGGTGGCACATCGGCGATGACTGTGCCGGAAGTTAGTGCTAGCCAGAAACAGGTTGTGGTCTGTGCACAGTTGCAGTAGACGGTCCCCGTTATCTGTTCTGCGACCAACGAGTCCCCATCGGCCACCTAAACGACTCTCTTCTGTGTCTAGACACCCGACCTGTGCATTCAAGTCTCCGGCTAGTACTACAATATCTGTCGAACGCACTTTCTGGAGAAGAACAGATAACTGGTGGTAAAACTCATCCTTGATTGCATCCGGGCTGCAATCTGTCGTGGCATAGGCGGAGATGACGAAAAGACATCGTTTCTCACGCCGATTTCTTCTCGCCTTGATGGAACTTTCTAATCTAACAGCACATAAACGACTGTTAATGGGGATCCATTCTATCAGTGCTGCCTCAGTTCTAGCGTCTACCTCGATATCAACTCCAGCAAGACCAGACGAAGATGCCACAGGGTCCCCGGATAAACGCACCTAAAACAAGCCTTTTAAGGCGACAAATGGAGAGCGAATTTGTAGTACTTCACCAGAGTCTTGAATAAGGGTCTCAGATAGACAACAAACGTCGATATTAAGACTTTCCAAAGACATAGCCAGCCCTATTTGTTGTTCGATCTGCATACGTGTGCGAATGTTGAAGGCAGCCAGTTTGAATGGTGCACGTGGTTTCAGAAAAACTGCTTCATTATTCGTATTTGGTGGTAGCATACAATTTTCAACCAGGCAGTGACTCGAGAACGTTCAGATAGAACCGAATTTCCACCATAGGCGAGCTGCTGTATAAGCCGAAAAATAAGGATACATAGAATGGGAATAAAAGAGAGTGAATAAACAACGTAGTAAATAGTAATAATAATAATAATAATAATAATAATAATAATAATAATAATAATAATAATAATAATAATAATGTGAATTGTCTGACTGTAAGTCGAAGCGAGAATAGAGTTCTCAGTAAATACCATCATTTTCATTACCATTATATTTGTGTGTGGGCTGTGATACTGCCCGGGTACCCAGACCGAAGCAGGTGGTTTTCTTAGGGGGCCATACTCCGAGCCTTTAACCTAAAGGTGTGTGACCCGCAAGGCAGTGGAGCATCGTGAGAAGATGTAGTCCTATGGTAGCCGGTGACCAAAGATTGGTTCATTCGCCATTTGTTCCCGCGGGATACTGGAGCCCATGTGCACCATTGGTTTCAGATCCGGTTAAAGTGCCGGACATTCGTTGTTCGTCCTCTCATTTTCGTAAACAACACCCCCGCCACGAGAAGGCAGTGAGTAGGACTTCCCTGGCAGAGGCTATATACGCGTGGCCGTGTGAGAGTATTTCGAGACGTAGGGCGGGCCCACCCTACTCTTGACCATACCAGGGCATTTGGGGGCCACGTTGAAATTACAAATAAATACATACATTATGCGAAATGCAACACTGACTTCATTTGTAATTTAATATGAATTATTTTTGTTTTTATGAGTAAAATGAATGATTTATGGAAGTTTTTGGCCCGGTATATTCAAACGTACATAAATTAAAACTTTGTATCAATGCATAAATATTACCAACATATGTCATTTTTAGTAAGGGCTTGCAATTTCCCCTTGTTGATGTGTCCTGAATATCAAAAGCGGGAAATTACGAAGCTTTATTGATACCTTCACACCCGTTGAATACATTTGTGGTTATCTGGATGATACATTGTGCAATTGATGCGGACCGTATATACTTCGAGATCCGATGTGAAGGTCAGTACTGACGAGCAGGTAAATCTACCAGATGAATCCAAAATAAGATGAGACGCTCATCCTGGGTTCCACTACTAACTGCATACCAACTATATTAAAATATGTCTATTTTGTTTGTTAAACTAAATTTTTGTTAGCTAACTGATCATTTTGAATGTGATCCATTCAGAAATGTTGTATGTATGTCTGTAAATCCTTCTTTGCCTTGCTTTCTAAAGTAAAGAGGATAAGATCAAACACGGATGTTCAATAATAATGTGCTTTCAGTGTATGGCATGAAACTCTTTATAATAGTTTTGTATAGAGTACAAGCTCTTCATCTTAGCAAACTCGTATATCGGAATAAAACTTACGTTTATTTACTCCTTAGTTCTCATTGATTTTTCAGTGGATACCAGTTTGTGGCGGAAATTACCTTCAACTTGTGACATTTAATTAGATCTTAGCTAATTTCAAGATGTACGGTTTGTTAATCTGTTTAATTACCCTAGGAATAATTTATTTGCTTTCAGTAGTTGAAATAAATTACATCATTCTCTCTACAAGGTGGTGAATTACTTTTTAATCATTTATTACACTACTTACGATCACAGGTTAGATTTTTGAGCCAATATGTTCATGAAGTACAAACTTTTTAATGCTGTAAACCAAATAAATAATAAATACTGCGCTAAGACTGTTTACAGACGAATTCTTTTGTTATAGGCAGGTGATTGGTGGTAGTTCATGTGATATCTATCCAGTGTCTTATGTTTCAAACACTCCTTTTCTAACCTTATTATCTACTAACAGTAGGTTAAACGAAACATGAGATGGTCATATTAATTGGAGGATGAACATCGAATAGGGAAAATGAAAAAAAAACGAGCCTGCCAATTGAATCGCATCATTACACTTCCAGGTAGCTACGTATAGACAATGCCTATCATCAAATCCTAACTCATCATTAGTATGTTTATCATCAGGTGCAGGTAATTGATGCTGTAAAAAATTCAACGAACACATCACCCTTTTAATTCCTTTTATATTGGATCAAAGTAATGTTTTGTATTCTTATTTTCGTGACCTACAGTAAATTCTAATTACCAACTATTGTGTTTCTTTTAATGCAAACTCGATAAACGCCTGACGTGGGCTGACATTTCAACCATAATCCTCAACGCGATTGATGACAGGAAGCAGTTAATTGACCAGGAAAACTTGATATTCAAAAATACAAATTCGAAGTAGAATAGCTCTGTATATATTTAGTAACAATCATAACCTTAAGGCAGTAAAATTAGCAAACTGAAATGGAGAATAGTTAGTCAAATGACAGCAAAGGTAAATGGGGATATATGAATTAGGAAAATGCTATCGTGGTTGTTCTTTCATGTATGCGCCGACATTTATTAGTAAAAAAACGAAATAACTTGTGGTAGTCTCTGGGAAGTTACCTTTATTCTTTGATTTTATAGTGATTGATTCCATTTATGTAGGTATCTTCTTCAAAATACTTTTCTTATATACATGCTTCTTCAACAAAATTTTTTATTTATCATGATCTGTCTACTGATAACGTCGTGAATTGTGTCATAATTTCTTTGTTTTTGTTTTAAATTAATGATTCGGTTTTTAATTCTTAAGAAAATAATTCCTTGATAACATGAAAGACAAATAGAGCAGTTTTATCCATAAGTACATGAAACTGTCATTGAACAGAGAGCAACTTGAAGTGATATTGAACATTTGGGTTTAGATATTATTATCACTATTATTATTACTATTATTATTATTATTATTATTATTATTATTATTATTATTATTATTCATACCAATACTACAATATATAGATCTAATAATATTAGTGTAGTTTTTCTTTAGGCGGGTATTAGAAGTGACTTACTAAACCATGATACTAATATAATTGATAATCGTTTGCATTTCCCATGCCTACATTGTGGATTATGCACGAGGTATAATACTCCAATTATATTTTGCCAAAAGCTATTTTATGTCCTTATTACAAAGAATTCGACTTATCCGTTTGTTGATAATATTGAATGAATTTCGACCATTCTTTGTTGGAATATATGCATCGTGTGCGTATTGTCTCGATATTGCCATTTTTCACAAGCTTTTCTGGAAGAAATGGATTACTGGCTAACAGTAGAATTCGGGACACGCGTTTCATCCTATTTGGGACTCGTCATCTGGGCTCATATGCATCCTAGTGTTGGTCCCCACACCCGAATACGAGCCCACTACCTTTCACTTCAAATGCCCAGCGCGTTATTCACTGAGCCACTAATTCCTGATAGCCATCCACTTGCGCAACAAAGGGTTCGAGTCCCTGTGTGAACATCATTGAGATCCGAATACATCTATCTGACATGTCTCAAATAGAACGAAACATGAGTCCTGGATTCTTCAGCTGACAGTAAATCCACCTATCTCGTAAAGGACTATTTTGTTCAAGTATTCTTTTAATAATAGTTTTGTAATGGATATTTATGTCTATGTTTATTGATGTCTTGATGAAGACAGTATTTTCATCCAACTATCTAACACCACCCTATTTAATATTAACTTGCATAATCTTGGCAATGGTATCATGTATGAATTCTTTTTGTGTGTTTATTTTTTAAACCGAAAATAAAAATTCCCTTATCTTTATTCTTTATCTCCCACTTCAGTTTATCGGCTCTTCATTATTATTTGTTCATGATCAATCAGGCTATGCTAATATCTGGTTAATTGATTTCGCTAAAATAGCCAGTCCATCGAACAATCAAATTCGTGTAAATCATCGTTCTGTATGGAAACCTGGCAATTATGAGGATGGTTATTTAATTGGAATTGATAATTTAGTGAAATTATTCGAAGAAATTATTCATGAATGCCAGTAGTTCCAGATCTCATAGATTATTCCCTTTTGTTTTTCCGTTTCCATATCTTTGCTAGTGTTTATATATATATCGGAAGAACATTACGATTTATATCCGGTTTATTATACAATATTCACATTTCCCATTTTTTACGTTGACTTCATAGAACTAATTGATCTGCCCATAGAACAACTATCGTGTTGTGCATTGACTCAATAATAGTGAGCTTTTCCATTTTGTGTTTGTTTATTACTCCTTGATCGTATCCACTTTTCCCCTCACCTTTTGATGGCAACAGTACATTACAAAATAAATTAAAGCAACAGATCGCTTGAAAGAAACATCTGTTTGTTTTTTTCTACGTTTTCATGTTTGTTTGTTTTTAAAATTGATTTACTTGAGAATCAAAATTGTCTTCACAATGTATGTAAGACAGTTTCAATATCTTTTTTACTTGTGATTTAGACATATTTTTGATAAATGAAATAGTTTTTTGTTCAAATGTTTTCATCATCAAATGTATTTCGCCACATCTATTTTTTTCTAGAATTATTTTTTGTTTCTTTGACACAGTACTAGTATTCTCAATATTGATTTGTTATTGTAACATAAGTTTATCGATTTCAAGCACATTCCAACTATGCCAATTTGTACAATTATAAAATGTTGTGTTTCATATTTTTTCTTCTGATTCATGCGTGTTAATTATAAGTGAGTGACCTGTGCTGTGTGAAAGATATTTCGACTGGTATTTGGCTTCATGACACAGTAACTGGGATTATTGATCTCGCCAGTTCAGTGCAGTTCTCTCCCACAAATTATTACTTTTCTGGAGAAATTAAGCAAATGTTATTTGAATCATGGCACAAAAATATCATTCAATAGATTATGGTCTCAGGTTAATTGTAGGAATGATTTGAAATTAACAATGTGTCTTTCTGTAGCCACCAAATTCAACGGAGGGAGTATATTTAAAATGGTTGAGAAGGTAATTTACTACGAAGTAGTGCTTGATTTGTAAGTTTGTAGAAGCAGAAGATTTGGAATTATGTGTTCAATATGTGTAATGTGAGGATCTCTGAAAATTATTTGGTTGGTAATTGGGATTAAGGGAAATCATTCTCGAAAAACCTAATATATTAGGTGTTCGGCACAATAAACCACATGTCTTCTGCCTCTTCTCAAACTCTAACCCTTTCCTATATATGATATACCAATAAATTATCATAACAGTGATTAAATATCATAAGGCCAATGATAATCAATCTCCACAGGGAATCATGCAGCTTAAAAGTTAGGCGGTAACCAATCGACAACGTAGGATGAGGATCTAGCTATTTCATATTTCTATATTATTGGATTTTAAATCACTGGCTTAAAAATATCATAGTAGTCCCCTATATTCGAAGGACTTGTGTTCCACTCTATTCTGAGTATCGAGTTTTTTTAATTCGCTGTATATATTACCTGTATATCTTAATGTGAAATATGCAAGTATCCTTGTTCGAATCTAGACAGAATGATTTATTTCTAGCCAAATGAAATACTTCTGTGCAACAAAAATGAGTTAAAATGTATGTTCATGTTAGGTGTGGGCAATTTTATCGATAGACACACCGCCAAACTCAGAAATTGAGACTTGATAATAAAAGTTTATCCTTGCCATTCATACCATGCATTTACTGAGAGATTAGTTTACTGAAGGAAAACCTGAAATGTTACAGTAACTGATAATTTACATTAGAGTTTATCTACGACTGTTGAGTTCTGTTGGTAAACAATATAAATTTTCATTTATGGAGTTTAGTTTAAGTGTAAATGATATGAAGGACACTAACTGAATTTTCAGAACACAACGCGATGAACTGTGAACTGTTTAATCAATGAAAGAAAGTGACAAAGAATAATTAATGAAAGTTTCATAGTCTACATTAATTGTGTTAGTATAAGGATGAAAACGAAGCCGAAAATCATCAGAAGAATGAAAAATCTTGTTACTGTTCTTGTAGTTGATATAAAATTTATGTACGAAGATTAGCTTTTTCATATCTCAGTGTTGTTATTCTTTGCAAGTTATTTGATGTAACAGTTAATTGTTGGGTTATGTTCATGTACCATTGGAGAAGCATAAACAGAGACAAAATATTTCATTAAAATCATGAGCTGATCTAAATCAGACCATTGAAAATCTGGTAGCACTGGACGGCCATCTCGACCTAGTATGGGACTCCTTGGCAGTACACGTCCAAAACCCCATAAACGTGAATCAAACTCAGGATCTTCAGTCTCGCATGAATGCTTAATCTCTAGATCACTGAGCCAGGATCCAATGGTGTTAATGTCTCCTGCAACTAGTTACTTCACTCAGTAATAGATATTCCCAGTTTCCTTCAATATTAGTCTAGCTTAGAACGGTTCATGATTTCAACGAAGTTCAATAATCTCCACAACCACATACTGACAAGATATTTGTTGAGATTTAGATGGTGGTTGGAGGTAGTCAACAAGAAACCCTGGACCCGGATTTCGTGCTACTTGGCACTCGTCAGCAAGGTGTACCTGTAGTCTTGAGGGAACTGGTGCTCCCTGGCGGATTCGACCTCGTGTCACCCAGCTTCACAGTCAGAGACGTTACCACTGAGCTATCCGAGCCGCGACTGACCTGTAAATTAAATAGATCCATAAATCAATTTAGTATATACATTTTGTTTATAATACTTATTGGAATGTTACATCAATTAGATCTGATTAATTCTGATTTAAAGTATTCCTTAGGTGAAGATATTCACTACAAATGTTTTACTGCCATGATGTCTACTTATAAATACATAATATAACAAGTAACTCTGTTATATATAGAACTCCTGGTTGACATTAAATACTCATTGGACTTTGCTAGTTCCGGAGTTTATTTTTATTTTTAATGTTTAAATTCCAAGTTCTGTGTGTAAACATGCATTAAGATCCTGTAGGTGACATGAGTTTCATTCAGTGTATTACTGAACTACACTCAAACCCTTGATGTATTTCCCTTTCTTTATCAAAACTAGTCCCCCACACTTCAATTTCAATATCTCATTTTCTAATAGAATATAGTTCTACGTTGATGCTGGTCAACACAAAGCCTAGTCGAGTATCTCTATAAATGCAGGAGATGTTCTAGCCTCAGATAAAATGTACTCAGTATAACTCTATACTCTTTTTGAATTAAAATGCAAACATATTTGAAAAAAAAATTGTTCAAAAAGTACAATTTGTCCTCAATCAGTACTTTTTATGTCAGCTATTTATTCACAGAAAGAATATATAAATAATCCTAACTTTATTGTTTCACACCATTTGACAATACAGTACTATTATATTTATTTAAGTTGAGTATATTGGGTCAGTCACGTGCCAAACTTTACAAAATTTTAAAAACCATATGCTCTTGAATTGTATGGATACTAAAATGATTTGTATCATGTTTAATGTGACTGTATATTCATATGTATAATTCTAGGTACTTTTGTATTTGGTAAATTATAAATTTTCGGATGTGACAATCTATCAGAACTATTTATTTTATAAGATAAATTATGAATAATGAATATTCTATATGAAAGTTCATAATTAAATATATACTTGTCATTAGATTTTATAATTAAATATATCAAATAACTAAGCTAGTTTTATTTTAAATTCCGCTTGTTCAAAAAAAAAATTGTTGTCATGCTTAAAATCAATTTCACTGACAGATAATTCCCATTTAGACATTAAAAAAAACACGAAGTATAGCGAAAGGGATCTCTTTTCAGTTAATGTAATAAGATGATTAAAATGTTTTTGTTACAATAATTAAAGGTCATAGAGGTGTAAAAATAAATAAGGTGATATGATGAGCATTTATGAATAAAATAATAAGAATATAAGACATAAGTAAAAGGGAATGCAGTAATAATAATATTAATTAAGGCCAAAGTAACGATAACAATAGGACGTACTTCTTTTTTACGCATGGTTCTGGTTTGAGCCTATGGATAGTAACAGCTTCGGCTATTTTTAGGAGTTGGATACGATGAAATCTAGGTAGATTTGAACAAATCATATATATAACCTTAAAATTAAACTGTGAATCCGTAAAATGATTACAGTTGATTAGGTGTTCACGTATAGAACTCCTAACTGCTTTCCTCTTACTCTTGTAAAACCATTTTAATCATCTTATTACATTCACTAAATCTATTTTTATTATCCGTATTACGTAATTTAGTATTATAACCTTTCTATTACGTCATCTTGGTTATTCATGTTCATATTTCCCCATGTAATCGGTACTTTCACAAAAAAATTCATATATATATGATTGTACAGCTTGATAATAAATTCGTTTAAAAGAGATCCCTTCGCTGAAATTCGTGTTTTTAATTACTGTTATGATTTGTCTAATTACGTTAATTGATAGAAAAAACAATATCGCAAGAATTATTCAAGAGAGACTGTCCATAATATGATTTTGACCAGTTTGATAAACTTCAACAGAATGAATAAACAATATTACAACATGTAGTTGTAAATATAATAAAACAAAATTGATTGTTATTTTCAAACTTAATTAAATAAATTACACCTGTTACCACTCTTGGAAGAGCATGAACCGCCTACTATGATCCTCTATTGAAATCTGTCCTAGGAAATTATTTGCAGTTGCTATTCATCCTTTTCATACCTGCTTCTATTTCTCTACATAATATGTTCTTTGGCCTTCCTCTTTTCCGTTTCTCTTCAGGATTCCAAGTTAGGGCTTGCTTTGTGATACAGTATGGTGATTTCCGTAATGTATGTCCTATCCACCTTTAACTTAATTTTCCTAATTTCCTCTTCATCTGGAAGCTGGTTTGTTCTGTCTCACAGTAGGCTGTTACTGATGGTATTGGGCTAACGAACATTGAGTATCTTACGTAGACAATTGTTTATAAATACATGTACCATTTTGATGATAGTTGTATTAGTTCTCCAAGTTTCAGCTCCGTACACTAGAAATATGTTGACGTTCGTATTGAAGATTGTGACTTTGATGTTGGTTGACAGTTGTTTTGAGTTCTATATGTTCCTCAACTGCAGGAATGCTGTCATTTCTCTGCCAATCCTTTCCTTCTCGTCTGCATCGGATCCTCCACGCTCATCGATGATGCTGTTCAGGTTCATATTAATTTTGCACCTCTTCTAGAATTTCTCCATCAGGTGAGATTGGATTGGTGTTTTTTCTGTACTGGATTCGAGTCCCTGAGTGAACGTCCACTCGGATACAGCTGCATCCAGATGACGAGTCCCGAATAGGATGAAATGCGTGTCCTGGATTGTACTGTTGGCCACAATGCCTCTCTACTTAAGAAGTTGAATGCTTGTTCAGTGTTGTCGAGTGATTTATGTGAGTGATTTTATCTAATCATTTACAATAACTAACAGTGTTACTTTTGTGTTAATGTCTTGTACATAAACATATTACTTCCTTAGATAAAAAGGTTTATTCTTTTGGTTATTGGCTTTGTCTTTGATATTAGTTTATTCGGGATTTGGTTCAATAATTGTACTTCATGAGCAATCTTCACTCAGCCACAGTATACTATTGCATATTATCAATTAGTCTTTGGAGTTCGTCCATCTTTGCAACTAAAAATCCTAAGATCTTAATA